ACAATAACATGTTTGTTGACGTGCTTGATTGAGACAATATACAGTGTACTCTGGATGGAAAATCTCATTTTGTATGTTGTAATGATGTACAGTGAATGAATGCAAATAAATAAATGGAAAAAAATTTTTGGACACACACTCCACGTGAACAAAGCATATGTCACATCAGGTCATAGCTCTAGAAGCCCCAACTTGAACCAAAGGTCTCTGGAACTTACCTGGATATTGTAGCAAGCTCGCAGATGGATGTGTTTCTGTGGTTGGACATCACTCTCTACCCCCAGAGACCTGACCTCGGTCCTCGAAGCACAGGTGTCAGGCATCGAAAACTGAACAGTAGCAAATGGATACCAATCAGAGGGAATTTCTTGATCTGATCCAAGTTCTAGTTTGTATGACAGACAATGGGGATAATCAGGACCTTGAGAAAGAAAAAAATCAATGGTCAAAGTACTTAACAGCCACTGAACATTTCTCTTGAATACAAAAGGTACTTGTTGCTTTAATAAGCAATTCCATTAGCACAATGGCAGAGTGAGTTCCATTTAAACAACATATCATGAAAAGCCACAATTTTATACTAACTAGAGGGAAATCAGTCTGCATTTTTAAAGTACTAGCTGTAAAAGAAGTACAACTTTATTACGGTATATGTGTATAAATTAACTTCTAAAATGTTTTCAATTAGAAGTATTTCAATTAAGAATTTTCTTTAATTAAAAGATAGGAGTAATATTTATATTAAACATAATTATTTGGCTACAGTATGCTTAGGACCTGTAGAAACCTCTTTCTCATAAATGGACTGCAGAAGTTCTTATGATAATTCTAAATCATTTTCTTACCACTCAGTTTATGTATAGATAATGTAAAGGTAAATTTCAGCCCAAATTATGTCATATTTTTTAAGTTTCTAATTTCTAAAAGTTAAACTTAATGAAATTTTATTACATTTCAGGAAATGTTCCAGGCCAAGAATTATTTTTTCAGTAGAATAGATTAATTTTCAGTTTTATAATTCTCACTTGTCCTCTGCAAAGCTTTGATTAGAACAGAGGTACAACACAGAGATGGGCACATGGCCTTTGCTATTTCAATGTAATGTTTGCTCTCAATCTGTCATTTCTCGAGCATCTACACTGTGCCAGGCCAGGCTCTGTGCCAGACCCAGGAATATTAGAAATAGTCAAGGCTTTTAGGTGGGAAGGTCACATAATTGTGTGTGTGTGTGTGTTACAACAGAGTAAAAAAAAATTTTCACTGTCACCGCTGTAGTAACTTTACAAATGACCCGCAATCCCGTTGCATTTACATACCCGATGCGGCTATCTTTACTCAAATAAATGTCTGAGATGACAGAAATTTCAAAAGCCAAATTAAGTTACCCTACCACTGATATAGCTCAAGAAAAGAACCTTTCCATCAGAATACAGCTTTAGGCACAAAAACAAGAGCTTAAAGGATTTCACTTAATTCTTAAAAGATAAATTGCCTTTCATTCCCAACAACCTTTTTCTTGTAGAGAGACTAATAGAATTCTAAGGCTGTAAAAGGCCTTGAGAAGACATCAATCAATTAATGGCACTCATTAGCTATTTCCACCACTTACAAGTAGGGTAGACAACAGTGGCCTCAGATGCTCTCAATACCTGATCACTGCAGGCAAGTGATAACTTCATTCCCTTACACACATACCCAGAGAGCCCACAATCCATTATCCTTTCTAGTCCCTTGGCAGCAAGGAGACACTAAGTTCATTTACAGTTAATTCGAGCACTCTTCAGTCCCATATGGCAGAACGGTTAAGAACACAAACACTGGACCCAGACCACTCGGAGGCCAATCCCAGCTCTGCTATTTAGTAGCTGTGTAATCCTAGGCAAGTTATTTCTCTCTCTGAGCCTCAGTTTCCCTGTCTGACAATGAGGGTAATGTGATAGCCTAAATTTTTTAAGATTATGGTGAGGGTTAACCAGTTGATACACACAGAGCACTACAGTATGGAAAATGTGTATTATGAAAAAACTGTGCACCAAAATAAGTGCATTCTTTAGTTCCTTTTTCTACAAACTTTTTGAAGTCTCCTCATAGTATACTATAGTGGTATAGATGTGCTATACACATTTTATCATGCTCTGCATATATGACTTTGCAAATGCTATTCAACATTATTATTGAACTACTACAATTTTGCTAATGAAGAGACTATGAATTCTTCATGCTGAATTGAAAGTTATATTGGAGATGATCTAATTTGATACCCATATTTTATAGAAAAAACATTGTTGTTGAGTTTTGCAATGTAAACTTTTTCAGAAATGAGCCACTTGCAGACATACTCCAAAAACATTATAAAGGGACCAACAGTTAGCGTAATGGCTATGTCGCTGGACTCCCACATAGTCAACTGCGGTTCGCGTCCCAGACCCGGTGGCTTAAAACTCATGCCGGATGCGTGTGCGTGCGTACCCAAGATCCCAAGAAGAGGACAGAGGAGAAGGGACTGCAGCGTGGCCCATCCCCCTAGGGGGTGATTTCTCGCTTTCTGTCTCTCTGTCTCTCTCTGTCTGGTGAGCGTACATGCCCTATAGCAAAAATCTCTCAAAAAAAAAAAAAGTTATACCAGATTTTCTTAAAAAACTGGTAAAAGATAAAAGAGCATTTTTTTCTTTTTTTTAAAGAATTATTTATTTTATTTTGTTTATTCATTCCTTTATTTTAATTTGACCAGAGAGAGACAGAGAGAAAGTGGGAAAGCAAACCTCCAGGTCCGGGACTCAAACCATGGCTGACCATGTGGGAATGTCCAGCGCCTTAACTACCACACCACCTGCTGGTCCCCAAAAGAGCATTTTTCTAATCACGGTTTGTGGCAATATTTTTCCTGCTTTCAAAAATTCTAAATAAGCTACAATGTTTAATAACACACTCCTCCTTTAGACTTTAAGTTTCATGAGAACAGATATCATATCTCTCCCTAGCACAATGTCTAGTATTTTAGGGGCTTACAGGGTATTTGTCAAATTCATTGATAAAAGATAGAGGAAAATCATGCTGTATCAGTTATGACCACCAGAGGGCACTCAAGAGCTTTGGTAATTGTCATTCTCTAACTTCCTTTTCTAACTGGAAATGCAAATCAGTTATCTGCTTTGGTCTAGCTGATATTCGGTCCCTAAATATCCAAAATTCGCATCTGAAAACGAACTGGACAAGGCAAGAGGGAATGAATGGTAGGAGAATTACACAAGTGGAAGGGAAGAGAGCAACCAACATGCTGATGAGAAAGAACAAAAGGAAAAATCAAAGAATGGGAAGTTAGGGACCCTCCTCCACTGCCCTTTTCTTTTCTAGTTCTATGCCACCATTTACATCTCTAACCAGCAATCTCATTGAGGATATGTGGGACCCTCCACCCTCTCCCACATAGCTCTCCCTTCCTCTCCCCTCCCCAACCCTATAAAGCCTGTATTTTTGTTGTTATTCACATCTTTGAATAAATGAAGCCTAAAAATTACTGCCCCAGGCCAACCTTTGCTGTGAAGTCAGACTTGCCACAGTCGGAATATGAAGCACTGACAAGCTGGTGTAAGAGACAGTGAAGGGACTGCCTGCCCTTACCACTCCTCCTGAAAGAACAGGTAAGTAATTTCACCAGTAGGACAAGTCAATATCTAGCTCACTAACTCTCAGAAAGCCAAGGGAAAAAAAGGCAAAAAGTTTTCTTTCTAGCTAGTGTGTAATAAACCAGCTCATATATTCCCTCAGGGAGGCTGGTGGGAGGTGAGACGTGCTAACCAAGTGCAGTAGCATGGGAGTGGGAGAAAGAGTGAGAGGTAGGCGAGAAATCAGAGGCGCCTCTGGACAGCGACAGGCCTCTGTGGGCGTGGGGAAAGGGAGGCCAGGGGCTCTGGCCTTGGTGAGTAGGTGGACAGTAATGCCAGTAGCTGAGATGGCCTGGGATCCTCTCATCACTCAGCGTTTTAAAGGCTGTTTCTCTGCCCTGAGTGTAGGTTGGGCTCATTAGAACTTTACAAACAGACCCATACTAAGGCCTTGCCTCCTACCCATGGGACTCCTCCCACGAGTGAGGCCCAAGGACTGGCATTTGTGAAAGGCTGCCAGCATTGAGAACTACTGACCTGGTCGCAGTCCTGGGGAACCTGGTTTGGTGCCCTGGGGGGACAGTGTCCCTCCTTGCTCTGTGTCCTGTGCTCCAATGCTCAGTGTTGTCCTCCCCCGGGTACTTCTGGCAGTTGAGCTCACCGAGAGCAATGACAGGGATGGACATCCCCAGAAAGGCTGGCTGGACTTGCTCGTGGCCTTCAGGAATTCCTTTGGAAGACCATCACAGCACCAGGCCCACACAGAACACTGTTTTACAAGTATCTCAGTCAATTATACAGTGATAATTCACTGGACAAATCCTTTGGGATCAAAGCTGCTTTGTTCACATCAGTTCTGTGTGCAAAGAAGAGGCTCAGGGACCAGGCATGGGACTGCTCAGGCAGAGACCGGGAGCAGGGCCCAGCTCGGAGCAGCTCTGGGCCAGGCTGGGGCGGGTCACTTCCAGGAGCACATAGCCCTGCTAGTCCATCCCACTTGGGGTAACGAGGGTAACAGAGATAATGCAAAGAGCAAGAGCTGCCCAGGAAGGAGCCTAATTTGCTTCTTATTTTTCTTTAAATTTATTTCTTCCATAAGAGACCCCCCCCAACATGCCGCTATCTACCTCCAGTCTCAGCTGCCTGAATCAGAGGCTCATGCACACATGCCTGGTGTGCTCAGGGAGTGCTGGGGATTCAAACCCAGGTGCAAAGCCAGGCTCCTTCCCACAACCCATGTGGGTCTACTTGCTTTAACACCACCATGCCACCACCTGGCCCTAATTTGCCTTAATTAAGAGAAAGGCTGGAGAGGGACCAGCAGTTGGAGTAATGGCTATGTCGCTGGACTCCCATGTAGTTGACCGCAGTTCGCGTCCCGGATCTGGTGGCTTAAAACTCACACCAGGCGTGTGTGCGTGTGTGCCCAAGATCCTGAGAGGAGAACAGAGGAGAAGGGATCGCGGCGTGGTCATCCCCTGGGGTATGATTTCTCACTTTCTGTCCCTCTGTCTCTCTCTGTCTTTCTGGTGAGCGCACACGCCCTATAGCAAAAATCTCTCCAAAAAAAAAAAAAAAAAAAAGAGAGAGAGAAAGGCTGGAGAGAGTAAGAGTAAGGTTGGGGCAGACAGGAAACCTTTGTGCTAGAGTAATGCTCCTCAAACTTTTGGGTGCCCAAAAGTCCCCATTGGACTGGCACCTGTCTGTGGCCAGCCCCCAACAGGTCATAGACCAGCACTGGTCTGTAGCCCAGGGTTTGGGGACCCATGACTTAAAGTATAGAGGAGGAAGATGAGAGTGATAGGTGATATGAAAATATGACACCATCTTATATAAGGGACTTGAGCATCTGAGGATTTGGGTACCTGAGAGGGGTCCTAGAACTCATTCCTGGAAGATAATGAGAGACAAATGTATTTGGAAACAGGGCTTTTGTTTTGTTTGGTTTTGTTTTTAATGCCAGAGGGCATGTGAACAGGAGAAAGAGGGAAAGCACTCCCGATGTGCCCTGGTAAGGCTACCATTCTTTTCTGTCCATTTTCCCATCTCATCGGGATCCCGTCCAGGACCCCCTACATATTTTTCAACCCTGGCTGGCCATGTGGGATCCAGACCCCTCTGCACAGTGCTTACTGCTGTGCTGTGGGCTGGCCCAGATCTTACTCATTTTATGTGGCACTTGGTAAGCAGTAAGTGCTCAATAAGTCTGGAGCAGTGAACCAACTCAGTGAATCAGTGAACCAACTCAGATCCCCTAAACCTGCCCCCAACTTACCTCCACAGCCCAGTATTGTATTAGAAAAATATCGGGGGCTGGCAGGTAGTGTGGTGGCTAAGGAGCTGGACTCCTACATGGCTGACCATGGTTCGAGTTCAGGACCTGGCAGCTTGTTTTCTCACTTTCCCTTTCTCTCTCTCTCTGGTCAAACTAAATAATAATAAATAAAGTGAAATAAATACTTTTAAAAGAAAGAAAAAAGAAGAAAGAAAGAAAAGAAAGAAAGAAAGAAAGAAAGAAAGAAAGAAAGAAAAATCTCAATTAAAACAGGGGCCAGCCCTAACTTTAAAATTTGCTTTTTTGGAGCCAGCAGGTGGCATGGTGGTTAAGGACACTGATTCCCACAAGGTCAACTGCAGTTCAAGTGCCGGACCTGGCAGCTTGCTTTCTCACTTTCCCTCTCTCACATTCTGTCCTTTTCTGGTCAAATTAAAGAGAAAAAAAAAAGAAAGGGAGACAGAGAGAGAAACAAAGAAATACACGGTGCTAGAACTATCTTTTCAAAGTTCTGAACTTCTAGATTAATTGTCTCCTTTGCAAAATGTTTTTTAAAAATGGAATATTTAATGCTTAGATTGTTTCTATCTATTAATAATTCCGGGACCAGCAGTTAGCGTAATGGCTATGTCGCTGGACTCCCTTGTAGTTAACCGCGGTTTGAGACCCGGGCCCGGTGGCTTAAAACTCACACCAGGCGGGTGTGTGCGTGCCCAAGATCCCGAGAGGAGAATGAAGGAGAAGGGATTGCGGCGTGGCCATCCCCCCCCCT